TATCATCATCATCATCATCATCATCATCATCATCATCATCAGTATCATCATCATCATCATCATCATCATCATCATCATCGTCGTCGTCGTCGCCATCATCATCATCATCATCATCATCATCGTCGTCGTCGTCGTCGTCGCCTTGCGGCAGACGTAACGATATCTTTGATGAATAAGTGTACGGTTGTCGTTATGTTATTTTAGAGTGTAAAAAACTTTAAGGCAACGATCGCAGCAAAAACCAAACGAGTCTATAATCATAACCACTTATTGCGATCATTACTGCAGGCATATATAACGCAACGAAAACATACAACCAACTCATCTTAATCTTAAATCTGGTTGTATAATCAAAACATTAATAATTAATAGCTATACTGATACTCAGAACCATTAATCTTCTCTGTAATTCCTAGTTGTTAACGTTAATTTTAGCTATAAAACTATCCTTCCAATAATCTACCCTATGACTCCTATAGTTTTTAAAATTAATTTTAGCTATAAAACTAACCTTCCAATAATCTCCACTATGACTGCCAAAGTTAATTTTTTCGCTATAACGCTAACATTAGCCCTACGTATAGCCCCTTAGCATAGTACCTTATCCCTAGGCTAACTCCCAGCTCTAATCACACTCGGAACCCACCAACTCTGAGCACGAGCGCTCACCTACGATGTCGATCGTGTCACAGGCACTTGGAGCGTTTCAATAAAATATAATGCTAAATAAATACGAAATCTATTTACTACCAAAGTCTTAATGTTTCTATACTCTCTCCTTCGCCTATTATTGCCGACAATTTCCTGCAAATGCCGTCCAAATGCTCATCTGCAACAAACGCTGGCTGCCGCCATGCTCCAAGTGCCTGTGGATCGTGTAGCCTTACACTTACCTCTACCTATATTTCTATCCTCGAACCCGACCTATGCCACTAGCCCTCACCCCTACCTACCATCCTGACCGTAACCCTCACCGGAACCCTCACCCCTATATACGATCNCTCTCTCTCTCTCTCTCTCTCTCTCTCTCTCTCTCGCTCTCTCTCTCCCTCTCCCTATCTCTCTCCCTCTCTCTCTCTCTCTCTCTCTCTCTCTCTCTCTCACGTGAGTGTGTGCGTGCGTGCGTGCATGTGTGGTGTGCGTGTCTGCGTGCATGTGTGGTGTGCGTGCCTGCGTGCATGTGTGGTGTGCGGACGTGCGTGTGTGGTGTGCGCGCCTGCGTGCGTGCGTGCGTGTGTGTCTGTCTTCTGTCTACGTGAGTGTATGCGTGCGTGCGTGTATGTGTGGTGTGCGTGCGTGCGTGTGTGTCTGTCTTCTGTCTACGTGAGTGTATGCGTGAGTGCGTGCGTGCATGTGTGGTGTGCGTGCGTGCGTGTGTGGTGTGCGCGCCTGCGTGCGTGTGTCTGTCTTCTGCATGTCTACGTGAGTGTATGCGTGCGTGCGTGTATGTTTATTCATCTTTTTCCTATTTTTTTCTTCTTCTTCTTCTTCTTCCTCTTCGTCCTACTATTTCTTTTTTTCTTTTTCTTCTTTTCCCCACCTCTTCTTCTTGTTCGCCGTGCTCATTAACGCACGCACGCACAGAACAGACCACACGCAAGCACGCGCGCAGGCGAGGACGGACACACGCGCGCACGCAAGGACGGACACACGTGCACACGCATACGCGTCCAATAAACACAAGCAGTTGCGCTCGTTGCAATTCCGAGCTGTCAATACAAATATACATTAGCATGCAATCCGGGGTATCAAGTGCACGGGACCTAAGTGGAAACACACCGCTATCTGCCTTCTCTCTCTCTCTCTCTCTCTCTCTCTCTCTCTCTCTCTCTCTCTCTCTCTCTCTCT